TGAATAGCTGGAAATTTTGAATTCTTTTCATCAAATCCACATAGCCTCGGAGGGTCATTTTCCTAGCAAAGATCCCATATTTATTATAGGCAGATTCTCATAAGAAATTCAAAAATTATAATGGTGTAGTTCAAATATATGGAATTACACGCGACCTGTTTAATATGAATTATTCAATGGTAACAAAATATGTTTCTGGTGGAAATTTATATGACTACTTGAAAAAAATCGTATAATAAACTTACTTGGAAAAATAAAATTAAATTGTTAGTTGGTGAAAAGGTAATTGAATCCAACACGCGAATATATATAATAACACGTAGAGATGTGCCGCGTACAGTACTGTACGCTACGTACTGTACGCGAAAAAAAATTCAGGTAACATATAAACGGCACATCTCTAATAACACGCATAATTCGATTATAATTAATTAGAATTCGATAATAACTATTATTACTTTCTTTATAGTCTTAAAGTAATCCACGATAAAAATTTGGTTCATCGTGATTTAGACAGCGGAAATATATATATAGAAAGGTTATCTAATAGAGACCATGCATTTATAGGTGAAGTCAACAAATTCAAAATTAATATATGGTGTTGTCCATATATTGCACCTGAAGTATTTAATGAAAAAATTTATACAAACGCAAATATTTATAGCTTTGGCATGCTTATGTGGGAATTCACCTCTGGACAAAAACCATTTGCTAATCAATCACACAATACAGATTTAATTTTAAAAATATTGGATGGACATCGACCAATTATCACTGGAGATACATCCGAATGTTTCAAAAAGTTAATGGCCAATAATCCCCTTGATCGACCAAACATTAACGAGCTATATAAAACATTAATTGAATGGAAAAATTCTGGAAATGCGCAGTTTGAAGAGGCAGAATCACTTAGAAAAATGATTATCCGATCTAGCGCAGATAAAACAGAAAATATGGAATTTATACATTCAGAGGCCATATATACGAGTCGCTTATTATTTAATATGCTGCCTATTTCACGTAGACGAACTTATGTTTATTCTGGTAAACGAGTTTTATATATAACTTAATCAAGTATGATCAATAATAATTATTATTTTCTTTAATAACTTTAGAGCCATTTTCCGAAATATCCAAATTCGATATTACCGCAGGAAATGAAAAATTCTATAATTAGTGTGTGGGTGGTAATTTTATTAAAAAATTATTTTGGGGGTTATTGGACTCGTGACCAAATGACCTTGGTCATTTATAAATGACCAAAGTCATTTGGGTCATTAGGTCATTATACATACTACAATCGGATGATACGACAAAACTCGATTGGATATTAGTACATATCGGTTAGATCGAACCGGTTTTATTTCATGTCTTCAAAATAAAGTTCTTATTTTATGCATATTATGCGCATACAATATTTAAAATATCTTATAATATTTACAATAATAATATATTTTTTATTTATGCGTACGTATTTAAGATGTTCATCGCGTAGCAAATGCTGTCAAGTACAAAGTTTTTAGACAATGCTAATCAAACCACTTACTATATCTACATAATACCTACCCTAACTCTATCATAAAACCTCTACTCAAACCCGAACCTTAACCCTGTCCAATGTTTCCACTAGACGATGCCTACATAATACCTACCCTTACCTCTATTTACCCGAACCTGAACCCTAACCTATCCGACCCTATCCAATATACCACTAGCTACAAAGAAGCCCAACCGTCAACCATTATTCGAGAAACCCGAAATTCTATTAACCGCAAGACAAACATCAAACGCGCCGGAAAATGATGTCAACGAAAGTGCGGTAACGAAACGAAGTGCCTACAAACAGTAATAGCGACATTAAACGACGGTACCAGCAAAAGTGAAACAGCAATGTCTATAATAATGCCAGCAGAAAATTTCGAACGCGATGACACAAAACAAAGTCACCATCAAATGACGATACCGGAAACGACAATACCAGCAAAAGGAATACACCAGCAAACAACGATGACGCCAAGACCCCAGAGAAACGACGCAATAATGAAAAAAGAACAAGATTAGTAAGAAAAAGAAACAACGTTGAAAAAAATGTAGTTAGCCACAAACCGAAGTCACCATCGAACGACAACGCCACTAGGAACCACGACACCGGAAACGACGACACCAATTAAATAAGGCACCAACAAAC